CAAAAGATTCGTGGCGCTTATAAATTACTTGAAACTTTCATCGTCAAATACAGATAATGTACAACATGTGAGTGGGTTAATGTGAGTGATAATGCGTAAATATTAATATCTGATGGCGTTCAATAAGCTAATGTTCCAACCCACGCTCCATGTTGAGAGCCCACGTGACCGTCACTCCTGAATGTACGTCTCGTGAGAGACCCAGCTACTGGTCATCAAGCCGACACACACTGGATGATCAAATAATAAGGGGACTATACTAGAATTCTCAAGAATTCCGATAAATGTTAGCGTAGAATTGACATCTATAGTTTTTACAGAGAAACCGAGTCGGCAATAGTTTGACCATACAACGACGACAGAAATCGAACGCTTCTTTTCTCGATTACTGCCAGTGAAAATTCTATTTCCTATATTTGCCGATGCTCCAAATTCCGTGATTCATTGCCCAAAAGGTTCTTCAGAGCACATCTGATCGGATATACTGTATAGAAAACCCATCTTAATTCAAAGTCGCAAGGCCTGAGATAATGACGGCTATCGGGTTTAGATATGTTTTCGGCATCTTACCATTTGTTACACACCTAAAACAACACAAGGAATACTTAAACGTGCATTCTTTCATTTTTAAGATTCATTCAATCGTGCAAACGAATCTGCCTTTCGCAGGAATTTCTTATGATTACGGAATAAATTTTGTCGCTTTTATTTGACAAGACCATGGTTTCTCGACATTGATCAAAACAGAAATCTTGTACACAGGTATCTGTAAGTTAATCCTGGTATGTTAAACGTGCATTTGTATAATATATTTAACACATATCATTTACAGTAATCTTTTACATATTATGGAGGAGAGGAAAAATCCCGTACAGAATATAAAAAAACATGTAGTTATGTTGCGGACTTTTCAGATAACGGTATCACCTGGCTCGAATAGTACCTCATACTCTGCATCTGCATTGAAATGTGACCGGATTGTTTGAACCTGTAACATCTGCATTGAAATGTGACCGGATTGTTTGAACCTGTAACATCTGCATTGAAATGTGACCGGAATGTTTGAACCTGTAACATCTGCATTGAAATGTGACCGGATTGTTTGAACCTGTAACATCTGCATTGAAATGTGACCAGATTGTTTGAACCAGTAACATCTGCATTGAAATGTGACCAGATTGTTTGAACCAGTAACATCTGCATTGAAATGTGACCAGATTATTTGAACCTGTAACATCTGCATTGAAATGTGACCAGATTGTTTGAACCAGTAACATCTGCATTGAAATGTGACCAGATTGTTTGAACCAGTAACATCTGCATTGAAATGTGACCGGATTGTTTGAACCTGTAACATCTGCATTGAAATGTGACTAGATTGTTTGAACCAGTAACATCTGCATTGAAATGTGACCAGATTGTTTGAACCAGTAACATCTGCATTGAAATGTGACCAGATTGTTTGAACCTGTAACATCTGCATTGAAATGTGACCAGATTGTTTGAACCAGTAACATCTGCATTGAAATGTGACTAGATTGTTTGAACCAGTAACATCTGCATTGAAATGTGACCAGATTGTTTGAACCAGTAACATCTGCATTGAAATGTGACCAGATTGTTTGAACCAGTAACATCTGCATTGAAATGTGACCAGATTGTTTGAACCAGTAACATCTGCATTGAAATGTGACCAGATTGTTTGAACCAGTAACATCTGCATTTAAATGTGACCAGATTGTTTGAACCAGTAACATCTGCATTGAAATGTGACCAGATTGTTTGAACCAGTAACATCTGCATTGAAATGTGACCAGATTGTTTGAACAAGTAATTTCTGCCTTTAAATGTGACTAGATTGTTTGAACCTGTAACATCTGCATCAAGGAACCTTGAAATAAACGAGTGCTGCTGCTCATAGGCTTATAACGATGTAAATGATAAAGAATGTAATTTCAAGGAATTTCAAGTTAATGTACGTATTTTAATAAGATTGTTTCTCTCTAAAATTCAGTAGTGTAGACCGATAGGTAAGATTGTTTTGATTTCAGTGATCGTGTTGATAATATACTAAAAGTGCATTCAATGAAAGTTGTGTCAGTGTTTTCTGTTAAACTGTCAGTGTTTTCTGTTAAACTGGTTTATCACCCGTGAAGAATAGGTCTTCAGCAACCAATGCTTGCCGTAAAAGGCGATTATACTTTTAGAGGCAACTAACGGGATCGGATAGTCAGGCTCGCTGACTTGTGCATGTCATCGTATCCCAATTGCGGGAATCGATGCTCATTATGTCAATCACTGCGTGGCGTTAAACAAACAAACAAACAAACAAACAAACAAACAAACTGGTTATCAATATGTGGTACTGGTAGAATATAAATGCCAATAGTGTTGTTTCCAAATTTGGCCTCAAGAATCATTTTTCAAAATTATTTGGAAACTCAAGCTTGACTCACGTAGCAGAGTTGCTTCCAGCCCAGAGTAGACCGGAAACGTACATGAAGTAAGTGGGTTTTGTGTGACCCGATCTCTTCTTCTTGTATAACAAATAGGACACAGCCTTAGTTTCTGTTTTAACGAAGACACATATATGTATGTAATTGTTTCGAAGTTTTGATACCAATAGCTTGTTCATTTGAAACCTCATGCTAACGTTTGATGTCAAATTTGTTTAAGATCAACCGAATTTACTTGAAAACTCTTTTGACTTGGAATTACAGTATCCCTGTGGGGACTCCCCAGTTCTAATTTCGGAAAAGCGGCGGACACGAGGGGGAAGTTACACGGTGTAATTGTGACTGATTGTGTATCATCGAGCCACGATGGCGTGGTTCATTCCTCGTGCTGTCAACCACTGGTTTGGCAGACCCAGGCTGGATTGTCTCTTAGCTGATTAACTCTAATATTACAAAGCTACAAAGGTTTTCTGAAACACGGTTTCCGTCGTTGGTTATTCGGGGTTAGAAAAGCTCCTTAGAAGCCATACATGTGGTACGATGAGACTAAATGGACCGGGTTATTTCTCATAACCTTTTCTTGTCGGAACAATGGTTCTAAAGATCTGACGCTATTGTGCTACCTGTAATAACCGACGTTAAATAATTTCTTGTATCTTGTATCTCTAGGTTTTCTGAAACACGTTCTCCGTCGTTGGTTATTCGGGGTTAGAATAGCTCCTTAGAACCCATACATGTGGTACGATGAGACTGTAAGTCATTGAGGGATGTTGCTCATAATTTCAGTCATTGGTATTGTCTTCTTCACTCTCGATTAAACACAAGCCTCCCAGATATATATCATACATACATACATACATACATACATACATACATACATACATACATATATAAGTTAAAGAACATCCGATTTTTCATATCATAGGGTTAGATTAGACCCGACATGCAAATGATCTACATGTAAATAGGATCAGTGATATGTAAATAGGATCCCCTGTGATTTCCTTAAACTATTACACTGTAAATTTATTGTAGCTTCCTGTGTCCATTGTGTCATCTCTATTGTTACATATATTTCTCATTATCTTTTCTTGTCGGAACAATGGCTCTTAAAACTAACGTTATTGTGCTACCTGTATTAACCGACGTTAAACAATTTCTTGTATTTTGTATCACCGATTGTGGCGTTAAAGGTTGATCAGTGGCTTGTGGGCCCTGTGCACGGATACATTAGTGTATATCATGTTGTTATCCACATTTCCGTCACTGCTTAAAACACAGTAGATTTATCGCCAACATCACGTTCTCTCTTTATACACCACTCAACACACCTCCAGCAACTGACGCCACACAAGGTGTTCTTCTGCTACTGTACAATGTATATGTAAGCTCAGGCTGTCCCCCATCAGCTGGCAGGTGTTTAATGCGTGCCCATATATGGCAAAATGACACCTGTCACTCAGTTCACGCACACATTTCATAGAAAGAAAATATCACTCTTAACAACAAAGGATTTTATCTTTCATCTTCAACGAACATATTTTCAGGCTAATGGCGGGCTTCAATTTACCACTTAAGCATGTTCTGTTCATTAACATGGTTTCCACTGGTCCATTACATCGACGTATTTTGATGTTACATCTGGTACAACATGACGATGATGGAACGCAAATGTGTGAATAATGCAAAACTAATTTCTTGGCAATTGCTTGGAGAAACTGTTACAAAACGAATACCTTGTTTGTCGATATCTTATACATTCTCTAAAACACACATGCCATTGTTTGACCTAATCTCCTATGTTCATACTGAGCACTAGCTTTTTCACTTCTTTTCCAAGAGATGAAAATCGAAATAAAAGTTTTACACACTACATTTTTAAGATATACGTTGCTTAATTTCAAATGTTTGATTTACGATGATTCTTGTGATTCATCACTGAATTTCTGTTAATTGTTGACATTTGCACACTTTGCAGCTATGGCAGTCAATTGATGTTTCTCGGCCGCTTCAGTAGAGACTAACATAACAGTAAACATAACCAACTCATTTCAATAAGAGATGACCCCATGGATATAAGGGTGCGTTTTAAAACATTAGTTCTGTGTAAGGTTACCTTTCAGTCACCCGATTTTTCAACTTTCTTTCCCCACACATTACATGTTTTTATTTGTAGATATGAGGAATCGTAAGGTTTTTTAAATCAGAGCGGAAATTAAACATTTCATCACATTTATCAGCGCACACTCTAAATTTGAAAAAAAATGTTAACATAGTTGTCTTGTGTTTAGTTTGATTTTTTGTCAAGACGGACAATTAATTGCAACCCACAACCAATTTCCGGAGTTTAATAATCTCACCTTCAAGACCCCAGCATCTGCGATATGTTTGATGTAAGGACCTCGTTTTAACTTAATCGATCAAGTAAAACGGAATTGGAGTACCGACAAATTTTCGGTGCTATGAGTTTTACATATCAAACAATTTGTTTAAATGCGAATCTCAATTTCCACTTTCGACAAAAATTGGATAAAACAAAATTACCTTTTCCCCGGCGAAAAACAGAGCAACACACGTGAGTATTCCTTGGGATCGAACTCGGGAATGTGGTAATTGTTGAAAGTTGCCCGATTAAGATGTTCAGCAAGTGTGTCCTCTCTCTTGCAAAGCCAGTCTGCGGTGTTCAATACTCGTCAGTCCCTGCAGCAACCGAGAGGACTTATTTACAAGTGCGCACAGTGGCCGTCAGTCCGATCTTCTCATTTCTTAATAACACCACTGTCAAACTTGCTCTTGTCGCCGACGCGCTGGTCATGTGACATGTGTAATCACGTGACGTGTCGCCGCATTCGCGCTTCCGGTAACGTCCACGGATGCCACCTCAAAGCTTCTTTGCATGAGGTAAAACCATACCCAGTCAGTCAGTCTTTGCATGAGGCATGTTTGCCAGGATTTCAAAATGTCATTAACCGGGAACTTTCATGTATTTAATAGAAGGGTATTTGTACCGATTTATAATTGTTTAAGGTTGTGATAGACAATGCTCACCCTTTTCACGAACACCTGGTGTCATCACTGAGTGATTCACATACTTTTCACCGCTATTTTGCCTTTAACGCCCAACGGAATCTGTTTGGCCGGATAATCAAGACTGTTTTTTTCTCTGGCGTTTTATGTATTATTTGTTTTATATAAATATACTGTTTAAAAAAGTATAGGATCGAGACATGAAGATGGTGTTACCAAGTTTTAGAACCAAGATAAGTATTGACGACAAACATCCTGACCCGTGAAGATTCGGGTTAGAATTTGTCTTCAGCAACCCATACTTGCCGTAAAAAGCGACTATGCTTGTCGTAAGAGGCGACTAACGGGATCGGGTGGTCAGGCTCGCTGACTTGGCTGATGCATGTCATCGTTTCCCAATTGCGTGGATCGATGCTCATGATGTCAGTCATTGGATTATCTGGTCCAGACTCGAATATTTACAGACCGCCGTCATATAGCTGGAATATTGCTGAGTGCCTCGTTAAACCACAAAAAAAAGACAAAAAGACAAGCATCCTATACAAAAACGTTTTGATGTCTGTAAAACTCAACACCAAAACACATCCTATAATTGGCACGTGCCTCACGCAGTAGCGCCACACACATGCGAAAGGTGTCATTCCCGATTTGGATACTCTCAGGAAGTTCGAATAATCTAAGTCATGATTTCAGTCAATCTTATTGATTCGTCTCATCATACAGTGGTTTACTTGATTTCATTCATTGTTTGTGTGTGAATTACCGATACAGCGTCTCCAACCCGCAGAGCGTCTACGGGCATTTGGCATTCTGAAAACCAACAGAAGTCAGCGTGCAGTGCCCAAAACGTTCATTGTTCTACAGTATGTGATGAGCAGACGACAGAACGGGCAACAACAAACCGCAAAAATTGACGATCGAACCCATTCAGGGCGTCCAAGGTCAAAGACAAGTGTACATAATCGATTGATCCGAAACAAGGCTCTACGAAATCGAGCTCAATCGGAGAATCAAATAGCTGAAAACTTCCATCAGGCTACTGGAGTACGAGTTACGGGTCAGATCGACGGCCGCCCCTTGCGCTGCCCCTCACAAATCGCCATATTGCCAACAGACGGATAATCGAGACTTGTCATCTTCTGGCCTTGACGTTTGACAGTTACACCACGATGGCCTGTGAAGCGAGCGCACCCAACTCTCTTGGCATCCTCTTAATTTGTATTGGCATCCGGCGAGCCAAAACAGGGTTGGCACGTTCGAAATCAGCCAGACCGTATATTTTGATCACTCACACCTCACTTCATTCGACGATTACGACAAGGATGTGTGCTGTGTGGCTGTGTTTGCTGTGGCGCCTCATCCATTCATCGGTTATCCTCATCGGCTCTTCATGTCACTTCTAGGGGCTACGGATCAAATCCTTCAATGTCGGCCAATGTACGCAGTGGGATTCACAACGCACTTCCACATCTGACCCGTGAAGATCTGGGTTAGAAAAGGTCTTCACCAACCCATGCTTTCTGTAAAAGGCGACTATGCTTGTCGTAAGAGGCGACTAACGGGATCGGGTGTCCAGGCTCGCTACTTGGTTGATGCATGTCATCGTATCCCAATTGTGTGGATCGATGCTCATGAGGTCAATCACTGGATTGTCTGGTTCAGACTAGATTATTTACAGACCGCCGTCATATGGCTAGAATATTGTTGGGAGCGGCGTTTAACAACAAGCAAATAAATAAATAAAATAAATAACTTCTTCATCGACGATTGGCCACACGTCATGAAATATTTTAAAAATCTATAAATCCCACTGCACACCTTGTATACTTTTCTAAAAGGTCGTGTAGTGTAACCAGTAGTAACATAGAACAAATGGTGGTGAACAAATGTGGGGAATAGCAACGTCGGTACCGTGGTCCTTTTCTGCCAGGGAGCCCCACAAGGCAGTATTTATCTTTTAATAATTTTTTAATTTGAAGTTTACACGATATACGGCTTTTCCATTGGACGAGAGGTCGGTCACATGACTGCGAAATTGACGTTCATAAGTGTATGACACAATTCATACATTTTTCACGAACCCGTGTTCTTGAAATGACGTAAACACTGATGGACTACTTCCACATTCCTTGGGAAACCCCTGGGAATTCCCTAGCACGAAAACATACATAACTGTTCTTTCTGGTTATTTAGAACCTTTAATCTTGGTCTCAGCGTTTAGTATACATTGAGAAACGTCAGAGAGTTTGAGTTTGAATATCCTCGCTACGGCCCATCCAAATGAACAAACGAAGAAATGCACCTCAAAACTATCGTAGTATCGACTCGACCCGTGTCTAGGCTGACAGTGACCGTCTCCAGCAATCTACGATTTTACCTGAGTGTCTGCTTGACGCATCTTTAATCACATTTAAATGATCGGCCAGTTGATCAATGATGACTAACAAATGTCACCGCCACAAGTTCATTAACAACTTCGGAAATCTCTCGCGTCACGTTTATCGTGTCGGCCATTTTGACGTCTTGTACTTGATGTAAATGTATTACGACGCGCTGTCATTGTGACTGACTTACTGAGATAGTTCTCATCTTATGGTGATATTATCTGAACACATGTGTTGTGTAAGATAATCCTGAAAAGCTCTTTTTGAGGAACTATTTTATTCCGCGAAGACCTATTCTAACCCGGATCTTTATGGGTCGCGTATCGTAAGAGGCGATAACTTGTATCGGGTGGCCAGGGGACGGTCTGTCAATGTATGTATGTTTGTGTGTGTATCTATTAAAGTGTGCCTTGGCCTGTCAATATGAGTGTGCCTTGGCCTGTCAATATGAGTGTGCCTTGGCCTGTCAATATGAGTGTGCCTTGGCCTGTCAATATGAGTGTGCCTTGGCCTGTCAATATAAGTGTGCCTTGGCCTGTCAATATGAGTGTGCCTTGGCCTGTCAATATAAGTGTGCCTTGGCCTGTCAATATGAGTGTGCCTTGGCCTGTCAATATGAGTGTGCCTTGGCCTGTCAATATGAGTGTGCCTTGGCCTGTCAATATAAGTGTGCCTTGGCCTGTCAATATGAGTGTGCCTTGGCCTGTCAGTATGAGTGTGCCTTGGCCTGTCAATATGAGTGTGCCTTGGCCTGTCAATATGAGTGTGCCCTGGCCTGTCAATATGAACATGTTTAATTTGGTTTATTATTTTATATTTTATTAATTAATAAAAGCGAAAAGACCCTTTCCATATCCAATAGAAATCTATGCATAAAGCAGAGTCGATTGTACGATTCCGACTATATCATGAGCATGTGTTTATGAATCACTATCAAGTAGTAATGATGCCAGGTGTTCGCGAAAAGGTGAGCGTATCTTGCCCCATCGGTGGCACCCGTCACAAACACTTGCAAAGGCAAGTCAATTGTTCACCCGAAAAATTACGGGAACATATGGTACAAGTCAAAAGAGGGAATTGCATCGGACATCATTTTTGTTGCTGATGCGTCAAATTTGGAAATGTCCTCCACATGTCTACCATAGAACTTTTTGAAAGCTTTACTGATGCCTTAAATGTTGTAACCTTGATCAAACAACTTCTGAGCAAGAGTCGTATGACTCTCTTTAAACTCTTGGTAGAAAGAGCATGCTCGATTGTATCTCAAAAGTTGTGAATGAGTGAGTGAGTAAGTTTGGTTTTACGCCGCTTTTAGCAACATTCCAGCAAGATCACCAGAAATGGACTTCACACATTGTACCCATGTCGGAATTCAAACCCGGGTCTTCGGCGTGACAAGCGAACGCTTTAACTACTACCCAACCGCCCCCAAAAGTTGTGAAACACCAAAGGCTGGAGCTGCTGAAAGCCATTGAACAGTATTTGAGTGATATGACGGCGCGTCATAAGTGATTCGGGTCTAGAAACAATATCAATGCGATTATGGAATTCGAACCCACGAGCATCGGTTTCCGGCACGGCGAGGGACGCGACTCTGGATAGTGAATTGCAGCGTCTTAAACGACTGGGGCACCCGTGTGGCAGAAGTCATATATAATACTTGCATCAATATGTGTGTGCTGGACACGATGATAATCCCCAGCGTGACAATCAAGGTATCGTGGGGTAGCCTAGATTGAAAACGTGTTTTCGTAATGCCGCTTAAACTGGGTTCGAGTCCCCACAATAACACATTTTATCAATTCAATCCAACATGCCCACGCTAGACATTGCATACTGTTGGCGCGATCATTCAATCAATAGTACTTCACGAAACAGTTATTATCTTGTCGCGTTGCAATGCCAAATGTCGTCGTCTGTGGGGCCTCTTCTACCCATCACAAGCAGGTGAGGTATCAGTATCGTGACTCTCATGAACATATATGGGGAAGCACATGCACAATTTCCCCCTCATTCAGAGATGCGGAGGAGTGAATTTGATGGCATATTCATCACTGTACGACTTCAACAATTCTAAATTGTTTTACAGTGTCCACAGTGTCTCATTACAATGATGTCATATAACTGTAGTGTTATTTTCAATATTTCTTCTGGAAAATCGTTTTCTTGGATTAACGCAGTCCAGATTAACGGAACCAAGAATAAAGTTGAACAGGTTATCGGGGCCCAGACTTATAGAATCCAGAATAATGGAGTCCAGAGGAGGCCCGAGGTCCAA